GAGGAGAGTGGGAGCAAATTACACTTTTTCAGGCAAATAACTAAATATTGAACTTCACGTAAAAACGGTTTGAAATTTGTGTCATTATCTTTTACTTTTGTCATTTTTCCTGTCTCCATTAGCTCTTTAGCACCGTCATCTATCTGGGGTAGATAGATGTGACTGATTAGTTGGCTGAGGTTTTTAAGAGAAGTTTTTTTTCGCCTACACATATTAACATCTCCCTCTAGTCTCATCAGGAAGTTTGTCTTAATCTGCACACAGGGTGGTGCATCAGTTTTATTTGCTCAGTGTGTTTTAAACAGGTAATTGCAGCATTTTAACTATGAAGACAGGATGTTTCTTAGGGTTTTATTTACATTGTAGCCAATTAAATCTAAAGCACAAGGAGGTCAATTAAATGCAGTGAATCAGTCTTCCTCGGTGGCCAGAGGTTAGAGACCAGTAAGAAGAAAAGTAGAGTTAGAGTGAACGTTTCTGTGAACTGAGTTTGATGATAATGTTGGAAATAAATTGATCCGTCCATCTGTGTCAGTAAGTCCTTGGGAAGAGAGTGTTCTGATGAATATCGAGGCCAAAGGCTATTTGTACCATTGCACTCTTCCATTTTACTAAAGTGGGACAAGTAGCCTATTGAACATCTGAATTTCAATCAGTGGTTTCTATTGATCATCTGGTCAACTGGTCTCATGGAGTTGACTCCCTGCAGGGACTTCACGCACTGCTGACTCTGTACCGTTTGTGATACGGTCTGCACAGTTTAAATTCTGCAGCAGCAACGAGCTCCCCCCATGCTGTAGTTTTATGTCACAGTTTCCCGCTGCAGGATTAGTCTGCACGCTCCCGACATTACCTCATTTGCAACAGCAAACAGGCAGCCACTCTGAAGTGCTCACGGCAGATCTCGTTACAAGTTGTATCAGACACCTCCCCTCCACAGCCCCACCCCGGGTGATTTTGCACAAAAGGAGCGCCCGCTTGCACCGTTGTTGCTGTGTAGTGGAGAGCCCTTGGCCGAGCTGCGGGGCAGTGGAGTGGTTTGGGCTGTGTGAAGTGCCGGCAGGTGCAGTGGCTGGTGGATAGACACAGGCAGTGTCTGGCAGTGGAGGGAGGGTGATACAGCAGCTCTGTTGGCCTCAGCTGATGGTCCAGTTCATTAACAGCCGGGGTCACAGAGTGAAAACACAAAGGTGGTGAATAATAAATCAATGGAGGACAGATGTTGAACTGCTCTCAGTGTTGTCCTCTTCTTTTTCACTCTGACTTTGCCGTGAACCATGTCTTCCTTTTTCGCTGGTCGTAATTCCAACCTCTGTGACCTTCTGCTGATCCTGCTCAGAAACTCAAATGCCCACAAGATTTTTCTTTGCCCAGCAGAAAATACAGTTCCTCCACAAAACCTAATGTTATGTTACTGTCTTTGGTCATCGGTTTTGTCTGCACTACATCAAATATTTTCTTGAATGGAGATTTTCCCTTCCATTAAAACAAAAAAAAGTCCTGTTTTTAAAAATGACCACAAATGTTCAAACAAGCGTGTCAGGCCAAGTAGGTGGCGATAAAATCGACATCAACGCTTAGCTCCAAGCAACAGTGGGCATGTGTGATGTAAGCTGCGACATCACTGTTTTTTAGAAAGTCTACAGTTTTAGGGGGTAAAAATCTCAGTTTTAGTGACTTTAACGTTGTTTGTGTTTCAACGAGAGGCTCAGACGCAGAGCAAAACGTTTGTTTTTCTAAATATTTGCAACAGGGTGATATTTTGGCTGTGGTTTTCTTTTTTTTCTTTTTTTTTTTTTTAAATGTGTTTATTAATTTTCTTCATAAACAAACATACAAATGACAGGACCAGACTAAACAGCAATACCACATGACATTTACAATAACAACAACAACAACANAAAAAAAGTCCTGTTTTTAAAAATGACCACAAATGTTCAAACAAGCGTGTCAGGCCAAGTAGGTGGCGATAAAATCGACATCAACGCTTAGCTCCAAGCAACAGTGGGCATGTGYGATGTAAGCTGCGACATCACTGTTTTTTAGAAAGTCTACAGTTTTAGGGGGTAAAAATCTCAGTTTTAGTGACTTTAACGTTGTTTGTGTTTCAACGAGAGGCTCAGACGCAGAGCAAAACGTTTGTTTTGCTAAATATTTGCAACAGGGTGATATTTTGGCTGTGGTTTTCTATGTTTAAAGTTATTTACATGTACATTGTCACTCTGAAAAATAATAATAATTATTATTATTTTGCTTTCCTTGAGAACCTTCAATCAGAAACTGCACAGTAATGAATTACTTCTAATAKAAACTTGGGCCAAACTCCAGAGTAGCAAATGTTCACATTCTCAATTCTTTCTGTGCGCTCATCAATCAATCTTTTCCAGCTGCAGTGAGTGTTTGGAGGATGTTTTAAACCCACGGTTTGTGTTGAACTTATTAATGACAAAGTATCTGACCTGGATGTTTTGTTCCTGTAGAGGATTTACAGAGGCAGCAAATATCTGTGGTTATGTTGACTCCCAGTGTTGGCGAAGTAACACTTAACAGTACACTTAGAAGGTGTGTTCCACTTGGTGCGGCGCTGACTTAACCTGATGCATGCTGGTTCTTACACATACAAGCTGGTTATAATTTTTGTCCAACATGTCAGTGACACGCATGACATGTCCTATGTCTTTACTCTCAGAATTCAGATGGGTCTTTTGCTCCATATCCATAAATGTAAAGTGTTAAAAYCCAAACCACCTGAAAAATGTCCAACAGAAGAACAATATCCACGTAATACCTTGGAATTAAAACTTTATTATATGTAATTACATATATTAGATTCACTTAATACGTAACCACTGGTCGTGCACATCTGATGGTTTCTCTTTCTGTTATGTTATTTCATGTGTGCCCTATTTTTCCTTTCTAATGTGCTGATTAATACCAAATTAAAAGGTTCTCAATATTTACCTGCAAAGACAATGTGATTAATWTTTGATCTCCTTCTGACATGGTCACTATACACTACAGTTTTGATTTTCCGCTGAAAGAAACTACTCAGTCAACTTTGTTCTTTGTTAAAAAATACAAGCATTTCCTCAACATTCGCTTAATCTGCAACGAAAAAATCAAACCCTGTGAGATCGGCCGTTGTTCTCGTCTCTCTGACGCTACGATACGTAAAAAGTGTTGGACTTGATTTTTTTACTCCAAAGCTTCCTTGTACCAGTCAAGTCAAGGCAGTCGTAGTAGAGCCGACCCATAACCAATCCGGCTTTAGGCTGAGGAAGGGCTGCCTACCTTATTAGCATATGGAAATAGAAATACGTAMGTAAATAAATGGAGAAATACAGATAAATGAATATAAAAATACATAAAGTACGACAGAGCATAAGGGCCACAATTTAAAAAAAAGAGAGAATAAAGTCGTTATTAAATATGGCGAGAATAAAATCAAAAAGATTAAATATCTCCTTGTTTGGGAAACCTAAAGTCTACTAAAGTACAACTCTACGAAATGCTCCACAGCCGTCATTTTAACAACTCTCCTCTAAAACAACGGGTTAGATTTTTACAACTTTATTCTCATGATTAATTCTCGCCATATTTAATAACGACTTAAATCTCGTGATTATTATTGCTGGGGCTTATTATTCTTAGTTCTTCTTACGTAAACTCTTCCCAAAGATTTTCCCGTCAATCGTACTCGAGACCTATAAAAAAAATACATGTGGAAATACGTCGAATGGTTTGCTATGACTTCTCTAAGAATTTCGTCCAATAGTTCGCTCAAAAATCACGAAAACGCGTCTGAAATCTACGAATGGGAGTCAAGGTCTCTCAACCTAGAGAGCGAGAAGACAAAAACGGGCGTTTTTCAGCCACTTCTCCGGTGTTTAAACTTCTCCTAGCCACTAACGGAGTCCCACAGACATGATTTTTACATCAGGTGAAAATAAAGTTTGTTTCCTACGCACACGTCACTCTGACATCTCTCGGTGCCGTAGTTAAGGCTGAGTCAATTTATCGAGAAATGTTTTCCAGTCTCACCTCTCCATTGACTGCCATGTTAATTTTTGAAAAAAAAGTCAGAAAGGAGAAAAACAGGAACAAATTTCTAACTCCCACAGTCTCATTTTTGAACTCTCACCAATAAAAAAAAGATCCGTACGCGCGGAGATTCTCACGGTGTTTTCATTTCACAGATAGGACTCATAGTTTTTGAGTAAGAAGCATTTGTTCGAAAACTGTCGCTAGAGCACAGAATTCTCTGTTCCCCATTGGATCCAACGTAAAGTTGAAGGGAAGATTTTGGAGGGAAAAACACTAAATTTCTAACTCGCTCTCACGATCTCATTTCTTAACGATAAAACAATAAAAAACATACGTACACGTCGGACAGAGTCTTGGGATTCTCACGATGTGTTTATTTCTCAGATAGGACTTATACATTTTGAGTTACAAGCATTTGTTTGAGGGGTGATCTGGAGCTTGTCCGGCTCTCTAAAGTGAGGGGGAGACAGGTTACGAACTTTTCACTACGCTCTGCTTCAGGCACTTGCACCAAGTGACGTCAGTCTGGGTTTCAGACCGGGTGAGGGCGGGAGCTTTCCCTTCGCTTTTTGACAATTTGAATAAAAATAAAAATAAAAATAAGCACAACATCAGGCTATGAGTGCTTGAGTAGAACTACTGTAAATTTAAATTAGGGAACATCTGTAATTTGTAGTATAAATTACATACTATAATTTAACATGTTAAGCTTATTGAGTATAATATAAATAGACATTCATTTAACCTAAAAAAAATTAAAAACATTTAAAGTCAAGGACCCCCAAATTAATATGCATTGTGGAAGCTCATTTTGAAGATTTATGCTAACATTAGGACGACTTGTTGTCGCCAGGCTACAGTCGAGACAAGTCAGAAAAACATCACGTACAGTAAAATGCATTTTAATGCCAAAATACATTTAAACGTTCTATTTTAAATTGTTTTCATGCCCTTGGTAATGTTTCTATGCTTTACGTGAAGCACTTTGAACGCAAAGTTTGTCCCAGTCCGCCATGTTTTGGGTTTTTCGGAGCTGGGGCGTCTCGAACCAGAAGCAGTCCACGTTCCAGCGGACCAGTCCGGCGTCACAACAGTTCAACACTTCACCTCACGTCAAAATCATTTCTTTATTCAACTCCTCGAAGTTCAAGGAGACTCTGTCTTCTTCTTCTGTCTAGGACACTCTGTCGTCCTGGGTAACACGCTCACCTGGGGGCGGAGCTGACTCGATGACGTTGGGAAGAAACAGCGCAGCGTCTCTGTGAAGAATAACGACTAAAAGTGAGAAACAGCGCAACTTGTGTTTGTTTCGCGAATTACCGGACTCACACACACACGAGGTAGGATTCTGTCAACTACAGTAACTTCACCGCGTTACGAAACGTAGACATATAAATGCCGCATTCAACGGCGCGACCACCGAGCGGTGATTTTTAGCTAGGTGTAGCTACTCGTGCGTCTCAAAGAGTAATTGTGAAATTGTTTGGCACAAAACACACGTGTTTGTAACCACACTGAAACTCTGGTATTCATTCAGTGGTGATAAATTAAATTTTAGCCCCCAAGCCTAGCTGTATTAGTTCTTGATAATTTATATTTCATGCTGCTGCATAGTCAATTATTAGATTATTTATGTAAATTAACATCATGATATTTTTATAGTCATACAAATGAGCTTACATTATGTTTACATGCTCAAATTGATCATCAATGATCAATACTTTTGCTACTTTAAGAAAATATGATGTTAATAATTATTTTGAAGATTGACTTAAGATTTTGAAATTGTGGTACTTAACGGTGCAGTAGCCTAGTATTAATAAAAACAGCTCTATATTATTTCTGACACCAGTCATTGCCATAATTGTTAAACGACCATGGTCTCCCTGTTTCCCACTGCTCTTTAGTAAACAGAAAATGCATTTTCAGGTCGGGATATCAATTTATCTATATAAACTTGACGCTTGCTAGAAAATGTATTTCTGTTTACTAAAGAGCTGATTAGATGGAAACCCCTATTACTGAACACTTGATGCTTCATCATACTATAGAGTTTTACTTTAAAAAAAGTTCTGCTGTATATTCCAGCAATTTGTGTCTGTATTTATATAGTATTGGAGTGTCAAAATGACCAGACGAAAACCTGGAAAACGATGGAGAAGGACTGATAATGAAGAAGATCCACATAAACGACCAAGAAGGACTGCACAATTGGTGAGTAGCCTGGCTTTGCTGTGTTGCAGCAAACTTGCAGCAGATACGATATTTAATTATATTTAATACCTTATTTTCCTCCCTGCAGTCATCCCCCCCTGCAGCCACCAATGTTCATGTGGAGGATGATCAGCAATATTTAGGTAAGTTATGAACTGGAAATATAGATTATAACACAAGAAATCTGTTCTTTGCTAATTGATGAAAAATGTAATTTGAACAAAATGTGACTCTCAATATTTTCAAGAGGGTCCTGATCTAGAAAAAGGTGTGAACCATTGACGTGTGCTCTTCTCTGTGTCAGGAGGTAGCAGCAGGGGAACACAGCGGGGGGTGCCTCCTGGAGGAGCCTAAAACGCTGCACTTCAAGGGGAAAACGTCCAACCTCCGAGTGTCCATGCATGATGTACCACACTCACTCTGGAAAATCAAGCTCTCACCACCTGCCAGGTACAAACACCCTCTGTCTGTCTGTCTGTCTGTCTAATGATGTACAGTATATTTTGTCACTGAGCAGATCCTGCTAAAATATGACAATATCATTTGAGTCCGAGAAACTGATATACAGGCTGAGACGATATACGTTTTGCGTTGATGTTTTTTTTTTTTTTTTTTTTCCTTGCACAAGGAAGCGTGGCACAACAGAGTATTTCAACTGTTGACTCTATCGAAGACAATGAAGAACCATCTTCTAGATCAGCCTTCAGAG